CAAGATTACGGTTAAAAGAAACTTGATTGTTTTCCAAATTATTATTTTGGAAAAAAAGTTTTTTTAAATACAACCTTTAATAGTTATTTTAAATTATTCAAATAAAAATTTGCGGATACAAAGTTTATATATGGTCGAAAGTACATTATATAAGTTACATGCTATAATTTTTCTTGGTATACATAATAAAAAATATATATGTTTTATACAGAAAGTTTTTTATTTGGAAAAAGGATTTAAAAGACTAAATCCTTTTTCCGAATTTCAAACAAGAATTTGAAACTGCTATGAAAGATAATCTTGAAAAAAATTATAGCAGCGTTTCTACCACCTTTTAATATGCGTAATTTGCGAAAAAACTTTAGATGTTAAAATAATCGTTTCAATGGTTATATGGAAAACTCTCTTCTTCGCTGTAAAAATTTATCATTTTTGGTATACTTTGATGTTATTTCTTTCAACGATATCTCCTCTCGAAGCTTCTTATTAAATTGCATAATTTTCGAAACACTGTTAGAACTTGATTGTACTTTTGCTCTGGTTGATGGAATGATTTGTCTTGTCGGAGCACGCAAAATTTGGTAGACGAACAATGAAAAATGGAAAAGAATTACGAACCCAATAAAGTAGAAAAAATAGTATGCGCTTATAAGTGGCCCAATTGAACAAATCATTGTGCAAATTGTTATCTCCAATGCAAGGTTAATATATTTTGGATTATCGTGTTGCATTTTTTTTTTTTTTTACAAAGCAACGTATAAACTTTGAGTATTAAAATATTAGAAAATAAATTTTGTTTCCAGCTAAAACAGCGATAATGCATAAAATAATAACGTTAAAATGTTTTATGTTAAACCATCTTAAGTTAGTCTAAATGCTAATTTATTACATCTATGTCTTACTAACACGCTGGCTTGAAATAACTTGGTTTATTAATGAGAATACTTATTAAAAATGAACGTTTAAGATTTGATTGGTTGCAAGAAATGTTTTTATATTCAAGTCATGAAGTGTGGTTTATAATAGAAGTGATATCTCTATGATATCTTTTGAATAGATAAGATATCTTAAGTTTCGACTTAAGTGATATTGCAAGATTCGTTTTTTAAAATAAAAAGTTAAAAAAAAAAAAAAAATTATTCACTCTTTCGCCTTTTTTCATAAAATATTTATGAGGTAAACTGGTAAATAAAACGTTTAATTGTAGAGCTAGATATATTGAATTGTTAATTTTATTTTGTTAACTCATTTTAAAATACTTCAACGGTAAAAAAAAGACTGAAAAATGGGGTGTACCTAAAACTTTTTTTTATTCTCTAGTTTTTTTTATTCTCTTAAGTACCCTGAGAGTAAAACAAAAAAATTCTTTGTCAAAAAGTGGTATAAGTCGTATTTGAAAATAATGAAAACAAATGTCCATTACGTCAATATTTTTTAATTTATACTCATGTTAAGAAAAAAACTTTTACACAACTTTTTTCACATAAAAATTTTGGTACATCTTGCATTTCTTATCGAGAAGTTTATGGAACAAAATATTTTGATTTTTTCTCAAGAATGGAATTACAACACATTCAAAAGAAAACTTAGATAATTTTATCAATAACATATTTTTAATTTTTATTAAGTGAAATCCTTTAATATCACTTCTTATATATCGTTAAAGTTATTTATTTTTACTTTCTACGAATATATATATATATATATATATATATATATATATATATATATATATATATATATATATATATATATATATATATATATATATATATTCATATAGGGTAATATGAGCACCTTGGTAATATAAGCATACTTAAAGATTTCTTAGACGTAACCAGTGAAATTAAAATTGCTTTGTATTTTTTGAATCAACTTTTTGTGGTGATAACAGAAATCAGTACAATTAGCGTAAATTTTCATACAGTATTACCCTTATCTACCCTATTACGGACTTTCATAAGGGGTGGTTTAGGCATATGAGATTTCGACGCCATCTTTATAGGGGATAAATGCACATAAACAAAACCAATCTCAGTTGTTAAGAAGACACAATGGATAACTTTAAATAAAAACAATTTTGTAAAATGATTTTTTAGACCATTGCTCATCTACAAATTGCTCGACTACAAAACGCCATTATTTATTTTATTTTGGTTTTTATGCACGGAAAGGATACTGTTTAAATTTATATATTCTGATCCGCAACTCGTGTAAGGTGCTTACACGAGTTGCGGATCAGAATATATAAATTTAAACAGTATCCTTTCCGTGCATAAAAACCAAAATAAAATAAATAATGACGTTTTGTAGTCGAAGTTTTCTTGGTTTCTACAAGCATCCCGCCTTCAACTATCTCTTTAAACAAAGAAAACTCAATATATCATTCTATAGCTTAATCTATTTTTAAAAATTATACTTTGATTATAAGAGAAAGCAGTTTAGAACAGCCAGAAAAACTGTGACTTTTGAAACGGATTTTAGTTCACCTGATGTTCACGTTGCTTGTTAGTTATAAAAATCTTATAGAGAAAAATTTTTCCTGCTGTAGTTTTATTTAAAAATAAGATTCCACCAATATTTTATTTTGAATTGCTGGTTTCAATAATGTTATTTTTAAATTATTGGTTTCAAAAAATGTTGATATGTCCTTTTATTGTTATTATTTATAAAAAACTTTCATGAAGCAAAGAAAAAAATATCATGAGTTCAAAAATGATATTGTCAAAGTAAAAAAACGTGAGTAAAAAAACAAAGTAAAAAAAAGTGAGTAAAAAAACTAAAGAATAGTTAAAGTGTTTTAATACAGAATACAGCATATAGAAAATACAGTGAGTATAGATAATGAATTTAAAAAAGGAGTGTTCTTCCTGTCATCAGTACTATCTTATATCAGTCATGCCTATAGTAATTTTTTTTTTTTTTTCATATAGTTGGAGGTGCCTTAATTACTGTTTTAGCTTACCTGTAATCTACGTTATATGTATGTTTGTGTTCTGTCTGAACCTCTGGCGCGGTGTTCGCTCACCCGTAAGTTACTTTATGTTCTTTATGTATGTCTGTGTTCTGTTTGAACCTCTGGCGCGGTGTTCGCTAACCCGTAAGTTACTTTATGTTTATGTTTTTTTTATGTATGTTTGTGTTCTGTCTGAACCTCTGGCGTGGTGTTGACTCACCCGTAAGTTGATTTATGTTTGTTTGTGTTCTGTTTATACTCTAATGCAGCGTGAGCTCAGTAACTAACTACTTACTCCAACTACAAAACCTACACTTACCTTAGACTCCTGTATTTTGTTAGATGCAGTGTTTTCCTAATGCACTTCCAAAATGTCATGCCTGGTTTTCTCAAAGTACTGTTGCGGGAAGTAACTCCTTTTAACTACTCCAGGTCAGGTCAGGATAATCGAGATCAATCTTGCTACTGGTATCACGTAACCCAGTACCACCTGCCACAAGCCCTGCTGCCTTGCAGAGTATGCTCTTCTTATGCAAAGGCTAGGAGAAATAAACTCCGACTAAAAATTCCCTTGCCTTGGGGCTCTTGGTTGAGTAAAGGCTAGAGATGGTGTCTCGATAAAAACACTCATCTTGGGCAGATGTTAACTGCATCCAGCTAGACATCTCCTGCCTTGGGGCTCTTGGTTGAGTAAAGGCTAGAGATGGTGTCTTGATAAAAAAAACTCATCTTGGGCAGATGTTAACTGCATCCAGCTACTGTCTTGTAGAAGGCCTCCTAGGCAAAGACTTTAGGGGTAAGCAGAAAAATTCTGCTAACCAGCCTCGAACCCCTTCTTCATCTATTAGGCTGGCGTAGATGTAACCTGTGTTACATTGTTTCCTGCCTAGGATAATGAATGCTGGATCTTCTTGACTCTACTCATAGAATTTTGCTAATGCCTCCTTGATAATGGCTATGCAACTCTTCCTGTTATCTCCATATGAGGGTACAGCTCTAAAACTCAGTTTAATGGTTCTGCGGCCGGCTGGTAGTAAGGTTTCCCGAACTCTGTGGTAGCTCTCAGAGAGGCTGATTCCATCAACAGCTGCAAAGTATCAGAGTATTAACAGTGCCATGTTGCGCATGGATGGTTTCCGTGTTAATGCTTTTGGTGTGCATTGTCAAGGCCACATAAGGAGCCCTATGTCACGGCTTAGGGTTAACTAAAAGGACTGAGACAACTGCATAGCTCATTGATTAGGAGGCTGTGCTCTATCTATGAATGAGTCAAGTTCTCATTAAACCCAAATCATGACCAAAGTAACCAAAAATTTAAAACCTAAAAAACCATTCCCACCACCTAAATATTTTAATATATCTTTTACAAATATTCGCGGTCTGCGAAGCAACTTTCCATCAGTTGAGTCTTACCTCCTGCAAAATTCACTAGACTTGCTTGCACTCAGTGAAACAAATTTAAATTCTGCAATTCCTTCCTAAGATGTCAGTGTTGATGGGTACTATCCTTTGATTCGTAAAGACTCAAATAGTCACATGCTAGGTTAAGGGGTATACATACGCATTAACTCCCCTATTTGTCGTGAAATCAGGTTCGAATCCTTTGACCATTCTTTTATGTGCTTTCGCCTAGCACCTCTTCACTCTATTACCTTTCTCTTTGTTCTTTATCGTTCTCCTTCTTCCCATGATTGCACTCTCTTAGATGTTATCTCTGATCAAATTGACCATGCTCTCTCTCTTTACCCTTCTGCCAATATTGTTGTTGTTGGTGATTTTAATGCCCATCACACTGAATGGCTTGGCTCTAACACCACTAATCCTGCTGGCATTAAAGCCTTTAACTTCTGCGTTTCTTAATCTCTTACTCAGATAGTTAACTTTGTGACTCGTTTTCCTGACAACCCTAATCATTTACCTTCACTCCTTGACTTATGTCTTGTCTCTGACCCTAGCTTATGTTCAGTTTCTCCCTTTTCTCCCTTAGGTGGTTCTGACCATGCAATGATCTCTATAAATCTTTCTTCTCGCACTTCTTTTTTGG